AGTACAGTCCAGTCAAAAATATGGTTTTTAATATGAACTTCATGTACTTGAACTCTATTCCACATTGAAGCAACAGTCCAGCCTGAAATTTATTTTGTAATACTAAACATTATGGAGCCGAAATTTTACATTATATCAAAGAATTGTTTCTAAAATGACAAAAATATGACCTTATTTCAAAATTATGCCAAAATATGCTGTAAAACCAATAAAACTCTAAAATATGCATTTATATGCACAATAAAAACGACATAATTTCAATAAGAATGACTGGAAACATGCATAATTACATTTAAAAATAGGAATAAACCCTAGGGAAAAAATATGACATGTCATAGAAATCCGGCCCCTAATTATCAATTTCAATTATATAGAAACCATTTATAATTTAAGTTTGTTTATGGCCTCAGTGGTAGGGACTAATCTTATTTCTGAAAGAACCTTGGTTACATTAAAGGAATATGGCTATGTTAGTTCATTGATAGCTGTATTACTCTGCTTGTTTTTGTAGGATTGGCAAGTCTTTACCGGAGGACACAGTGCCATGTCGAACAGGTGAGGTAGAGAAAGGTGGAAGGGCTGGTCTGACAGGAACATCATCAACAAGTGGTGGTCCTGCATCTGATCAGAGCAGTGACACACACACAGCAGACATAACCTATGCAAGCCAGTAAGCAGACGAAGTACTTGAGAAATCTTAAACTAATATATATTGTTTAAATGGCACATGGTATTTCTCAGTCATTCAGCCAGATGATGAAATTGTATCATGAAATAAGACACAGTTACTTCCTCATTTCTATTTCATCACATGTAATTGCCTTATAATTGAACACTGCATAACCACTCAAGCTGACTTAGAGATAAAAAGGTAAACCTGTCCCTCTAACCAGCTGTGTCACCAGTTGTGAGGCATTGAGGCTCCCACATTTTCTAGACAGTCAGCTCACAGATGCCAGTGATGCTGTCAGCCTTATGTGCCAGCCACCCTTTACCCCCAGGAAGATTCCTGGTAGTCATTTCTCTTAGAGGCTGAGTTGACTCCAGGGCCATAGTGCAGATGGAAGGAAGAATTGAAAAATCGAACAGTCTCATCAGGAATGGAACCCACAACCTTCCAGCTTACATAATAGTGCCTCAGCCGTTAGAATTTATAAAATTTTATAGCATCTGATGCAGTCAAACAGTAAAATTAAATGTCCTGCACTACACCTAATATACTAGAAGATAGTGTGTAAACATATTTAAATTGCAAAGGCTAAACAACTCTGTCCAGTGGGACTAATGGAGTTTTTACCACTTGAAAACTCAATGCCCTTACATGTTTCCGTCCTTATAGACCATCATCAGAGGGAACATCGGTACTTTTTGGAAACTACTATCACAATGGGTGTTTTGAATGTTAAAACACGTATACATACAATGTTTGTAATTCACAGTGTATACAAAATCCAACTTTTCCACAACTGCAGCAGCCTTCTTGGTATATTAAAGTTTTTAAAGGTTTTTAAAACTTTGTTATTTTAGTTAAAATTTATAAACCAAGTATGTTCATGTCCCTTCTCCTGTTGTCTTTCTTGTTGGGGCTGAACTTGTGCCACCTGTCTCTCTTGAGAAGGAGATTCTGCAAATATATTATGGGTATTGTATTATTTCAGTGACCCTATTGTATATATACATATATATATTGTGACATGTTGCGCAACGGAGGACCCCTACCTCCCCAGCGGCACGTGGCGGTAACGTAGCGCTCTCGTTACTACTTCTCGCGCTACGCAGGACACCACTACCCCCCTGGCGGCGGTGACGTGCCGAGCGGAGCCGAAGCGAGCCGAATCCCAGCGCACTGGTCGCTATGCAACACAGATAAACAGTGGTTGTGATAGATGACCCTAGCAACAGTGATGCCTACCACGTGGTTGTTTTCTCGTTGCCCTGCTGAGGGTTTATAAGGGAGCTACACAGCCGCCGATGACAGTTCTCAGTTCGCAAGTTACAAGTTACAGATGCGTGTGCGAGAATCAGTGATAGTTCGTGATAACCAGTTATATTTGGAGTGTGTAGTTCAGCGAGACTTGTATAGCTCCCGCGCTATTAATACATGAAGACTCTTGAAGGTAGTGTTAAGAGATTTTGTTGTAGGGTTTGTAAAGTGTGGAAACCCATAACATTGTTATCATTAATTGTAGCCGATACTTGTAGATCGTTAAATAAACCAATTAACCATCTCTGCGGCATCTTCAGTAACGAAACACGTTACAATATTTTAAGGATTTTGTTGTTTCATCCTACCTTGGTATTGTCCTGTGTTTGTTCGTGGCGTGCTGTGTTGTTTTACCTGTTCTAAAGTGTACTGCTCCGCGTAATTTATACTTCCTATGTCTGTGACGTTAATGTGGGTGCGTTCTGATGTTGTATTATGAGGTTGAACATGTTACGTTGGTTATTACTTTTTTTGTGTGTTTTTGTTCTTCTGTCAATTTATTGAATTTATTAAAGCAATTTATATGGAAATCGTCTTTTATATTCATGATGCCTCCTTTCTTGGCTTCTTCAATTATTTCCATGATCGGCCTGTACTGATGGCGTTTATTTAGTATATGTTGGCCAAATGCTGATTCGTCTTTCTTTAGTCGTATGTTTCATATGTGTTCTTTGTATCTTGTTCTTAGATTTCTACCAGTTTGGCTGATGTATACTTTTTGGCAGCTTTGGCATGTTATTTTGTATATCCCACTTTGTTCATATGAGTTTATTTCTTGTTTTTAATTTATTAGTTTACCTAATGTGTGGGTTGTTTTGAAGGTTACCTTTATGTTAGTGTTTTTGAATAGTTTTGTGATTTTTCGTATGTAATTTCTTGTGTAGGTATATGTGACCCATTCTTGTTCTTTTTTGGTTTCATTATTAAATAACGCGGTGCAGTACACTTTAGAACAGGTAAAACAACACAGTACGCCACAAACAAACACAGGACGATACCAAAGTAGGATGAAACAACTAAATCCTTAAAATATATATATGTATATATACAGGGCTTGAGGTGGGGTGGGATGCGGCGGAATGGCATCCCGGTTCTTTTCTGAATGGCTTAAAAGCATCCCGTTGCTTCTTTGGCAGTAAATGTAATGTACTGAGGTGGGGCGGGATGCGGTGGGATGGCATCCCAGTTCTATTTTCATTCCACCTCAAGCACTGTATATATAGTGTGACATGTGACCCCTACCTCCCCAGGGGTAACGTAGCGCTTGCGTAATAGGCGAGTCATCACCCCACCACTCTCCCCGTGGTGACGTCACCAAGGGATATCGCGGTCGCTAGGCAACACGGATAAACAGTGATGCCTACCACGTGGTTGTTTTCTTGTTGACCTGCTGAGGGTTTATAAGCGAGCTACCTCCGAGTTAGTTCTGAGTTCGCAAGTTACGAGTTACAGACGTGTGTGCGACAACTAAGAAGTCAGCGAGCGGAAGACTTATTGTGTGCTTTCGATACTTAGTGAGTGCTGTAGTACAGTTATATTTGGAGTGTGTAATTCAGGGAGACTTGTATAGCTCCCGCGTTATTAGTACGTGAAGACAAGTGAAGATCGTGTTAAGAGACTTTGTTGCAGGGTTTGTAAAGTGTGGAAACCCTTAATATTGTGATAATTAATTGTAGCCGTTATTTGTAGATTGTTAAATAAACCAATTAACCATCTCTACGGCGTCTTCTGTAACGAAACACGTTACAATACATTAGGGTCGCTGAAATAATACAATACCCATAATATATTTGCAGAATCTCCTTCTCAAGAGAGACAGGTGGCACAAGTTCAGCCCCAACAAGAAAGACAATAGGAGAAGGGATACGAATCTATACTTGGTTTATAAATTCTAACTTAAATAACAAAGTTTTAAAAAACTTCAAAAACTTTAATATACCAAGAAGGCTGCTGCAGTTGTGGAAAAGTTGGATTTTGTATACATTGTGCATTACAAACATTGTACGTATATGTGTTTTAACACTCAAAACACCCATTGTGATATTAATTTCCAAAAAAAAAAGTATCGATGTTCCCTCTGATGATGGTCTATAAGGACCAAAACGTGTAAGGGCGTTGAGATTTCGAGTAGTAAAAACTCCATTAGTCACGCTGGACAGAGTTGTTTTGTCTTTGTAATTTGTTAGTGTGACGGAACAGAATGAAACAAATCAAATTCATATTTAAATTACTGTACATGGTCCAAAAGCGGAAGGTGTAGTGAAATTAAAGTACAGGGTGTTTAAAAAATATGTGATGTAACTTCAGGAATGAGTTCCTCATATGTAGATAATAAAAATAGTTTGGATCAACATGGGTCTGGAAATGCATAATTTCTGAGTTAAGGCTTTCTAAAACCATAGAGTGATAAACTGAATTTTGAAACTCCCACAGACGATTTCCATCATTTACTACATTACGACAGTTGTGGTATCTGTCTGACACAATCTTGGAAACTTTCCAAATCTTAATAGGAGAAGTGTACAGTAATTGTGTGTTAAGCATGAGCTGTGCTGAAGCAGCATCTCCCTTCCGTGACATCATGGCTTCCAGCCATACCTTCCACGCTATCCCTTATTGTTGTCCTAGAGCCCCCCTCCTCCTCTACCCCTATACCATGTAGTTTTTCCCCTCCCTTCGTATCCCTGTGTGTCTCGGAAGGAAGTATGTTTTGGGAGCAGTGGAGTAGTCTGATAGTGGATCCATTCGGGCTAGGACATTGGCAGACCAGCGGGAGGAATTTCTAAATTTAGTTTCGGTGTAGATGGGAGCTGGCCACAGACGTCAGGGGAAAGGTATGGCGGTGATACATGGAGTTGTTTAGTTATATATATTTTCTTTGGGGCCGCCTGTGGCTGACCAAGAACCAGTAGTGAAGTCATGTTGTGCTGTAACGACTTCTGTACATAATGTAGGTGGGCCAGTGGAACTGGGCATGTCGGCTGAGTCGGATGCCATGAAGTGTGGATAAATATAGGGCTGAAATCAGCCATTTATGTTGGGTTGTTAGTGACATTGTATGGCCACAGTGCTCTATTTTTTTTTGTATATTCTTGTAGTGCGTTGTATTGTGTTTTGTTCTCATTAAATCTTGTTATTGTTATATGGGCGATCATTATAACTTCTGATAGGCCCTCCGCTGTGAGCTTGGATTCCCTGTGACGACCTTAGGGAGTATTGTGGACACGACACGAGAGCCTGTGACAATGAACCGCTCCTGACTTCATGATGGTTATAGGTGGTATGGTGAAAACGGGAGTAGCAGTGGTTCAAGCGTGTGGTGATTGCAAGTTGTTGAAACAATGTACTCAAATCAAGATCTAGCTGACATGCATTTCATGTTTGGTTTGGTGGACGGTAATGCTGTGGTGGTTCATCATTTGTACCAAGAAAGGTATCCAGGATAAATATGTCCAGATAGGAAACTATTTGTAAGTATCCATTGCCACCTTTGTGAACATGGGAATTTTGCACCTCGTGTTGCCAACACGACTCCTGAAGTAGAGGAGGATATTCTGGATGGTGTGAATGAAACTCCTAGAATCAGCACATGAAGGGTATCAGTGCAAGTGGGTGTTGCTCATTCGGCTGTTTGGGGAGCACTGTGAGAACAACAGCTGTATCCCTACCATCTGCAGCATGTAAAGGCCTTGTCACTACAAGATTACCCTGCCTGGGTAATGTTCTGCCAGTGGTTCTTACAACAGTGTGGTACAAATCCTGACTTCCTTTGCTTTGTGCTATTTATGGATGAAGCACAGTTCACAAGAGATGGAATCCAGAATTTTCACCATCACCATCTGTGGGCAGATGAAAATCCACATCTGATTCTTCCATCACATCACTAACAGCAGTTCTCCATCGACATCTTGACCAGTATTCATAGTGATAATTTATTCGGACCCTGTGTATTCCCAAACAGGCTTGCAGGGCACAATTACAAAGCTTTCTTGGAAAGCAACATGTCTGATTTCTTGGTCAACATGCCACTGATCACTTGTTTAGAACTTCCCTTCATATGTGATGGCACTGCCACGCATTTCAGTCTTATTGCCCGCAGGTATCTGAATCAAAAGTTTCCTGGTAGGTGGATGGGTAGAGGTGCACCAATTTACTGGCCTCCACACTCACCTGATTTAAATCCACTGGATTTCTGCTTGTGGGTACATTTAAAATCGTTGGTGTATTCGTCTCCAGTGGATGATGTGGAAACTCTTCAAAATTAAATTGTGGTAGGTTTTCAGACAATATGCAACATGCCAGGAATTTGGGATCATCTTCAGGTGGCAATCAGCTAAGGCCTATATTCAGATAGTAGATGGACATGTGGAAGATTTACTGTAAGGTATTTGAAGAGCTGAGTGTCATAGACAGACCTTAAAACTGGGAAGCTATGCATTTCCAGACCTGTGTTTAAAGAAACTATTTTTATTATCTACATATGAGGAACTCATTCCTCAAGTTATGCCATGTATTTTTGAAACATCCTGTATACAGAATAGGGTAAAACTAACTATCAATTCATTTTGATGTTTTATCATGTTTAGACTATCTCTGGAGGAAGCAGCTGGTTTCACAAGGGATGCATTTGGACGGCAAAGTATGTCAGAAAAACGCCATGCTACCTTGGATGCCAAACACACTGATACATACCAGCGCAACAAGAAACTTAGGTTGGTTTGCATAAGTTCACAAGTGCATGCATGTGTCTCAGCCAGGTTTGCTTCATATTATTACTGCTAGAAGAATCCAGAAAGTCTGTTGATGTCAGGATTGAATTAGTAATATTGTATGAAATATTGAATAAATTATGTGACAAAAGATCATGAAGGCATATGGGGGAGTGGATATATAGATACACATTTTCTTGACCTTGGCACTAGCTGGAGGTGAGTGGTCAGCTTCATGCTCCTGCTGCTTTACCCCTGGGAAAAGAGACCCCAATACCCATTGGATAGGAGGCTGGGTGGGCCCCAGAGCTGGTCTAAACAACATGGAGAAGAGAAAATTCTTGCCCCCATCAGGACTCGAGCTCCGACCCTTTGGTCATTCAGCTTGTAGCCAGTCACTGTACCAACTATGCTATCCTGCCTCACATGAAGATGTACCAGTATTAAATATTAAGAAATTTTTGAATTTCAAATTTAAACTTTTATGTGAAATAGTATTACATATTCCTAAATATGGCCACATCAGAATGTAATTGATAAATCTGAGTAATGGTCACCAATATTAATCTTATTGAAAATCTGTTTCTGTATTTGCAGAGAAGAGCGAGAGAGACAGCGACACATGCAGCTCCAGCAGCAGCAATTTAATGACCAAAAGAGGACAGAATCACAGATTAAGGATGGAGGTAAAATGGAACATTCTGAAAAGAACTTACAATATCTGTTTTTCTTGAAATGTTTTAATCTGGACACTGACTTAGCTAGAACTTTAAATTAATTACTGTAAAATGTAATTATCTATTTATGTGCATAATTTGCCTAACAGAAATTCCAGTTCTTAAATTTGTCACATATAACTGGTATGTTTCTCAGAATTGCCAGGTTCATTGTTGTTTACATGTGAACAGTATTTCACATAAATCTGCAGTTCATTTTCTAATCTGTCTCTGGTGTCTAGCTCCAATTGGCCATTAGTTATTACCTATGAAACTGAAAGCTAAATTTTCCAAGGTTGCCATATTGTTTTCTATTCTGGAATTGGGAGGGGGCCTTGAGAAGAATTGTATATTCTTCATAGATCTGTTATCACACAAAATTTGAGAACCATACATTAAAATGTCCATGTTAGTGTTATTTTTGTCTTCACAGTTATGTATATTTGGTTATAAAACCTTTTTATTCTCTCACTTTTGAAAGTTCTGAGGTCTTTGAATTTTTATTGTAAATCTACAAGACATTTTTAACCTTCATCATCTGATTTGAATCTGCTGCTACAACACTGGAGGCTTGATTTAAACTTGGCAGTAAGGGGATTAATGTTGTAAACAGTGTGACACTAGAATTGCTGCAGTTTGCTGAACTACTGCATGCACAGCACAGTGGTAACAGACATGTAAGATGAAGCTTAAATAATCTCCCTTATTTTATGAGATAAACAGTTGCTACAGACGCATATTCCAAATGTTTATGGGTGACCCCATGAACATATAGTTGTGACATGTTCTTTGGTGAAGGAAAGGAGCTGTATCATGTAATGGTAACAGAACAGTTGCAGTTAACGTTTTTATAAGTAGAACACTTAACGAAGATGCATAATTAAAGTAATTAAAGTGGATTTTTATACTGAGTGACACATTTTCTGTCAGACAGTGACAGTTTGCCTTGGCTGAGCATTACCAATTAATCCCAATATAAGTCTAGAATTGCTCTATAAGAACAATAAATGCAGCTTACCTACTTTGTAAGGAGTGCTAAAAATGTTGTTCCTATATATGTCCATACGCTCTCGGCATCATTTAGACAGACTGAAATTGAGCCAAAGAAAAGATTAGTTTCTGTAAGTTTATCTAATATGGTGAGAAAAGTAATATGAAGTTGTCCCTACCATGCCATGAAGATGTGCCAGGACGTTGAGCTATAGCTCCACCATTCTTGACCTCAGCACTAGATGGAGGTGAGTGGTCAGCTTCATGCCGTGTCCACTTTACTCCTGATAAAAGAGCCCCTATACCCATTGGATTAGGATTTTTGTTAGTGCTAGTGGGTTGGGACTAAGTCCCTTGTACTGCGGCCACTTCTGGCCTATTGTACCAGCCCCAGATGCTAGGTGAGGGTGATTGTGGAGCAGTTGGCGGAATGAAGATTGGCAGGGGAAACTGAAGTACTTGAAGAAAACCTGCGCCAGCGCCACTTTCTCCACCACAATCTCCACCACAAATCCCACTTGACCAGACCCAGGATTGAACCCGGGCCGCCGCGGTGAGAAGCCACTGACTAACTGCTTGAGCTATGGCGTGGCCTTGGATGAAGGGTTGGCTGGGCCCCAGACTCACTCTGGATGATGTAGAGTAAAGAAAGATTTCTTGCCTCTAGCAGGAATTGAACCCCATTTCATATTTCTTCTGGACCTGATTTTGAAATGCAAGGCATTGTGGTGGCTGTCATGAATTTACACAATATAACATCTCATTTCATTTACTTTCTCTTCAGTTCATAAAAAGTATTTCTAATGACGTCTTTATCCAAAATCTTCCCTGTAGATTTCACTTCATTCATAAGTTTATGGATGGCCAGTTGTGCTTGGAATTGTAACCCCAGGAAGATTCAGTGAAACTTACTTCTACGAGGGTGAGTCAAATGAAAACCGTAATTTTTTTTTTTAATTTAATTTATTGATTGAAAGCGGTACACAAATATATCATTTTCTACATAGTCTCCATTTCGTGCAATACAGGCCCTCCGGTGTTTACAAAGTATATGGATTCCTCTAGAAAATAATTCTTGTGCTTGTCTGCGCAACCACTCTTGCACTGCCTGCTGTACATCTTCATCAGAACAGAACTTCTTTCTTCCCATTGCCTCTTTGAGTGGCCCACACATGTGGTAATCACTTGGGGCCAGGTCTGATGAGTATGGCAGATGTGAAAGACACTCAAAGTGTAAGTCTTGGATTGTTGCAACTGTTGCACGGGCACTATGGGGCTGCACATTGTCATGTTGCAAAAGGACACCTCTAGTTAAAAGTCCACATCGCTTTGATCTGACTGCAGGTTGAAGATGATTCCTCATGGAATTTGAGGCACTGGTGATAGTGTTCCCCCGAGGCGTGTAGTGCTCCAAGAGTATGCTTTGTTCATCCCAAAAGAGAGTCAGCATAATCTTCCCTGCAGATGGCTGCGTCCAGAACTGCTTGAGTTTTGGTGATGAGGAATGACGCCCTTCCTTGCTCATTCTCTCTGGAGTCAGCTGCTGTGGCACCCACCTTGCAGACACTTTGTGAAACCGGAGCACATCATGAATGACATGGTGCGCTGATCCGTGACTCATGTTAAGAATTTCGGCTATTTCATCCACCGACACTTGGCAATTCTCCATCACTACGGCTTCAACTGCTGCATTAGACTCGGGGGTCACGACTCTGTGCACCTGACCCGGGTGAGGAGCGTCTGCCACAGACGTCACACCATTTCTGAATTTCCTACTCCACTCTTACACTTGCTGCTGTGACAAGCATGCATCACCATACTGAACATTCATCCATTAATGAACTTCAGTCAGTTTCACACCTTCACTGATCAAAAAACAAATTACAGAATATTGTTCTTCTTTTGTGCATGTACAGGTACGTAGTGGAGCAGCCATCTTCAAACCAGCACTGTGAAATACTGCCACCTATAGGATACTCTTTATAGCATTGGTAACATGTCTACCAACTTATAGGACAATGGTGCAATATTTCGAATTTTTATCTCAGTTTTACGGTTTTCATTTGACTCACCTACCTACATTTTATAGGCATATGTCTGAATGATTTTTGCAGCCCGAGATGGGAATTCATAAAATCTTCCCAAGTATTAAGATGATAACAAGAGTTTTCTCTACTTTACCAAAATGTGTATTGTAAACACAATTTGTAACTCTAACCAGTTTTTCACAATGCACTAAAGAGTACTTAAGTTACATCTACTTTGTTCTGTGCTAGTGTTACCAGCCATTACATTTCTGATGTGGGTAAATTGCATGCTACTGTTCAAAGCAAAAATGGTTATCTGAGAAGTTTTTGAAGTTTGGGATTGAAAAATCAACAGTCATATTGAGATCAAGATTTTTTCTCAGTTCAGTCACAGAAATTTGAGACTTGCATATGACTAAAAAAAGGTACTTTTTGACAGCTTTTGAACCATATCTGCTCTTAATGATAACCAGTATGTAACACACTTGCAGCCTTGTTTACTGAAGTGAAAATTACTACTTAACATGCTTTTGACACTACTGCACTCTTGTTCATTTGGAGGAGAAAACATAAATGAATCCCTTCTCATGTAAGCATAAATCATTTAATTGGAATTTTCACATAGTACTCAGCCTCAGTCAGTCAAGGCAGGATGGAATGATAGTGATTGGCTGAAGACAGGCTATCAACAGCCTGTAGTATGGAAGTAATAGAAAACTGTAACTTACCAGAAAGACCCGCTGTGGTAATGGAATAATTTCGAGCATGTAAGAATAATACAGTAAGTTCACTGATCAAGGAAACCTGGCAACAATGCACAGTGGACACAGCATCTCTCACAGATTGCTGCTGTAACTGCCGATAGCAGAACGAGTCTTTAGCGCTGATAAACGCGCACCATCAGGCTGTCTGATCTAGTCACTGCAGTAAGTTGCATTAATAGTCAGTCTGTGTTATAGGTGTCGATAGGTAGTCGACATTTATACTGAAATGAAGTTTGGTATTGAACAGTGTATATTCACTGACAAAACTATTGCAAGGAAAAACTTACAGAAAATGTATCCATAAATTTCGTTGCAAATATCCTGACTTGCCAGTTCCCACAAAGTCATGTGTATCCAAGCTTGTGAAAAAGTGGTGGGCCACAGGTTCAGTGTGTGACATAAAGAAGCACTCGGAGAGGATTGTGCTGACTGAAGAGAAAGTTTGGGATATTGTGGCATGGCTACAGATCAGTCCTCAAAAATCATTAAGACACTTATCACAGAAAACCGGTGTTTCACTAGGATCCACTTTCAGAGCCACAAAATTAATCAAATTTCACCCGTATAAAATAACAGTTGTGAATGAGCCGAAACAACCAGCAAGAATTCGTTTTTGGAACTGGCTGCTGCAAAATGTTCATGATGGACTCGTGGATCCACAGCTTCTGATCATGACTGATGAAGCATGGGTTCATGTTAGTGGCCCATTCAGTGCACAAAATGTAGGAATATGGAGCAATGAAAATCCTCACGCTATGCATCAAGTGCCATTACATAGTGAAATGGTAGTGTAGTGTACTGTAAGTCCGCGGCAAATCATTAGTCCATTATTTATCCATGAAACTCTGAACTCTGCCACTATGTTAATGATATACTGAATCCTTCTTCAATCAGCTGACTGCTGAAGAAAGACAATATGGCTATTTTCAGTAAGACAACACTACTACAACCATGGTTGCGATACAGGAAGTGTTTGAAGAGAGACTAATCAGTAGAGGACTGTGGCCTCCCAGATCTCAGTTTTTGCAGTTTTTATCTTTGGGGAAACCTGAAGGGAAAAGTCTACAAGAATAACCCTCACAGCATGGAAGCTCTGCGGAATGAAATAAGACACACTTTTTTAGAAGCTTGGCTACTCACAACTTTGTGGAAAGTGGTGAGTCAAGATATTTACAATGAAACTTACAGATTCATTTACTGTAAGTTTTTTCCTTGCAAAAGTTCCAACAACAAACACGCTGTTCAGTAGTGAACCTCATTTATGTATAAATGTCAACTGCCTATCGACACCTGTAACACAGACTGACTATTAATGCAACTTACTGTAGTGACAAGATCAAACCACCTGATGGTGCACGTTTATCGGTGCTAATGACTTGTTCTGCTATCGGCAATTACAGCATCAATCTGTGTGAAATGTTGTGTCCACTGTGTGCTGCTCCCAGGTTTCCTCGATTGTTGAAGATGTGAAGAATGTACATTTCATTTTGCAACTCTTAATACTACAAACATTTAGTCATGATGCAAAACATAATTTTTTAACACTAGATGTTGACTATGGAAAGAATTCTATTCTCTCTTTCAAAGTTAAAAATGTAATTTTCTTTATTCGCATAGTGGGTCCTCTCGGCACATTGCCCCTCTTTGGACTATTGTACCTGCCCTGGGTGATTATGAGGATGGAGAATTTGGTGGATTGATGATTGGCAGGGGAAACCAAAGTACTCGGAGAAAACCTGCCCCAGCACAACTTTGTCCACCACAAATCCCACTTGACCAAACCCAGGCCACCGCTGTGGGAAGCTAGTGACTTAACTGCTTGAGCTATGGTGCAATCTAAAATATAATCTTAATTATTCTGTTGTGACAGCTGTTCTGTTAAATGTTTTAATTTGTTCTGTTTTATATTCAGTATAGTATGAGTGTCATGTGAATGTTCCTATAACATGTATACTGGAAAGTGATAAAGAGGTATAATCTGTTAACATAGTTTCCTGTTTGTAAAATGCTTGATTTCTGTCTTCTTTGCATTCAGTGCATAAAGGGAACGTATAACAGGAAGTCACATGTGTCTGCCCACTCATGTTTTGTCTCTCAAAATAATTTATGAAATTATTTGCTTGGTTATAACTGAAAATTGGCACAAAAACTTCACTTTGATCTGCATCAATCTGCTCCAATCCCAAATTCACATGTACTTCAAATCACAGAATAAGATGCTAAAATTGAAAGCACCCATGCTTTATATTTGTGAGTATCTGAACTCACTGAGTTTTGACTGAGAGGCTGAATATTCTGATCCCGGTTTTATGTCGTTTGCATCAGTCATTCCAGGTACCTGCAGTAGTAGTAAAGTAAGATAGGTCAAGACCACTTCCTTACCATATTCAATTCAATTCAATTTTATTTCATCCATGAATCATTATAGATGATATGGGACAAGTCAAAGATTAAGCCATATACTTCCCTGTTCACTGTTCATAGCTGTCTATATAAGAATTAAATTCTATAATTTTTATTCAAACATATATTTTGCTGAAACATGGAAAGGGTTTATGCAGATTTGTCTTTGTGGTATATGGACATGAAGACTCTATGGCAATTCATAAACTTTTAACTTTCTGCAAGAGGTTGTCAGGAATTCCACAGACATTTTTCTTTAATTGTGGATATTAGTATGAATGCCAATCTAAAAATTAATTTATAATAGTAGAGTAAAATCTGAAAAATGCTTTGATACTCAAGTAAATTTTTCACATCTGAGTTTTTGTCCTAGAGCATTTAAAGCGGGAATTTGTAGTGGTGCCTGAGTGGTGAATTTGTTAAGCAAAAACACTTTATTATGACTTGTTTCTCTCAATATTGTTGGAACAAGAATGGCACCCAGAGGGAGATTATTGAGTTTAATTAGTGTTGCTTCTGATTCTGCACTACACCAATTATTGTGCAGTGAGCATTTGCATTTTTTTTTTGTTTGTTAATTTCTGACACAAGATACAAGTTGAGAGCAGCATACCTGCTTGAAACTGGGGTTTCATGATAAAGTAGCACAGAAACTAAATATTGGAATATTGAATGCTCACTTGCCATAAAATGTAGCCTCGTAATACATCCAGCATTAATTTGAGTTTTGGCACTTGTATAAAGGCAAATTTTCCATTTTTTTTTTCTCGTTTTGGAATTTAATGTGTAATCACATTTCTTCTATAAATCTATAATGGAAATGTACTTAGTTTTCAGACAAGAATCATCTATTTTTCTGTAACGATATATTCCTTTCTTACTCACTAAACATAACAGCCCCAACTCCTCTTTGCTTCATCTTATATCATGTTCATTCTAATATGTACATTCGAAAACAATCAACATTTTTAGTTTTCTGTTATCCATGGTGTTATGAAGTTTGTGTAACTAAGGAATTGCTAATAATACTTTTGTGAAGCAAATAAGTAGACAGGCGTTTAGAGGTAATTAATGACAAATTTTATCTAATATGCTGAAAATGCAGTAATTTTTTATAAGTTGTAATCATTTGAAGCCTAGTGTGTTTTGCTCTGTTTGTGTTTCCTTTGTTTGCAGTTTAATGTGTATTGGGACTTGTGAGAATGTAATGTTGTATGGACTAACAGTGTATGTTGACTAATTGTCTATACCCAAATCCTTAAAATATTAAAATGTTATTCATTGATTATTAACAATTAATATCTCCATGGACTTGTAAGTTCATGTGCAAAGCATTGAATGATGTTCTCTTCATCTGTTTTTAGTGAAACCAAACCAGGAAATAATAGCATCCAGTATGATTCGAGCCAACTCAGTAGAATCTATAATTAGTGTAACTCGATCACAAGCTGACTCAGAAAGTACGTACTTCTTTGGTCCTTCAATCAATTTAATCTGTTCTTCTCATTTCCATTATCATTACAGTATGATCAATGCATATTTCTGTATTATACAAGATTAGAGAATATACATATATAATTATAATAGTATCTGTTTTGTAGGGTAGGCTGTTTCCATAGCTAAGAAACAAAGTTATTTGATTTTAGGCAAATTTAAAAGCAACCTGTTTGACTGTCACAGTACATTGCTCTTGGTGTTCAGTTTGGCAAACCATTGCTTCTGTCTTCCTGCAGTTTAATATCTGAATGCCGTGTGTCTGTACAATGTAAAGACAGGGACAAGCACAGGCCCACATTATAAGGGTGAACAAATGCCATTAGAAGGCACACATTTTGTACGTGTGCTTTACAGGGACTTGACACATTTTACATATTGCTAAGCAGTCAATATCAACAGTGAAATTGAAGAAATCCCAGAATTAGAAACGTTACAAATTCTGCTCATGATCTGATATTGCTAGGTTTATTAAATCAAGAAGAGTGAGATGGATTGGATATCGTGGCTCACAGAGGAAGAACAGATCCAAACAAACTGTTGGTTGAAAAGCTCTGTAGAAAGTGATCACTAGTGAGAGGTGTGTAGATGAGAGGATAATGATAAATGGACCTTAGATAAATACATTGACCAAACTCATTCAGTATAGTGGATGTGTTTTTGTGATTATCACCATCCTGAATTCTGATAATTATAGATTTTAAGTCCATCACATTCAGATTTGATAGACATATATGGTTCTGACCTGTCTTTGTCACAGTAAAGAGGAATAATCAAAATTCAAATATTCAGAAGCGCATATTGATTTCCTTGTGCCATGTTATTGTTATTCCTATGTTGCATGTTGATGTAAATCAGAAGTAGAAGGAATGGGCATGATATAATTGTAATATAGTGCATGACTTATTAATGTCACTGCTTGTTCTAATACCATTTTTCCCTAAAATTTTATGTTTTTCATAAAAGTATTTCTTTTATTTGGTCTAGTTACTGATCAGGAGTGTGGATTTGTTATTTACACATAGATCATATAAAGGCTATTCTAGTTTGACTAGATAAATTAGTACATGTTGAAATTCTGTTTTATGGTTGTAATATTACCTTTTATCATACCTCAATTTTCTTTATGTGTAGGATTGGATATTCAGGTAAAGAATGAATTTGGGCCATCGCTAGGGATGAAAAAATCATCAAGTTTGGAGTCTTTACAGACAATGGTGCAAGAAGTAAGTACAGTATGTGAAGAGTAAGTTTCAAAATGTAAGTTAGTTGTGAAGGGCTTCTTTATATGACATTATCAGTGCCTGAATAATGTTCACAAATTTGTGGATATATGTACTCGTATGTGAAATACAGAACTATTAAATGCAAGATTTATATATTATAATATTATATATTATATTCATGATTACAGAACAGTGCTTGACACAAGAAGACATAATTTTGAGGAATCTGAACTTAACTGAAACGTTTAAATGAACAGCATCTGAACCATGAATTTCAGCCAGTAATTTCCCAAGAATCGGCTAAAACCAGTCACAATTACCCTGAAGTACAACTTTTGTAATTTTACATATTTTGAAATTGTGTTCAGTCCAAAATGCACTTAATTCAACATTGCAGATATAAATAGCAGCAGATCACAGTTCCTTCTTGGACATATCTCAGCTGCAAAACTTATACACAATATAATCTATGAAACACACTCCCTTTTTGGCATCTCTGAAATATTATCATGAATGCTATTTCATCAACTAATATGTCAAGATGAGAGGTCAATCTTAAACTTTTACTTTCATTTTCATCTACTTATATAGTTAATATCTGTAAATATTTTCCACAAGACCATACAGAGTGAGAATTAAATGTTTATTTTGGTTCGAAGCAGCAGGTATAGAATCTAAAATATTGTATTTCAGCATCTCGTTGCAGTAATGTACCACTTACACACATTCACTTCCATCTTAAATGCAACTTTATTTACAATTACTTTTTTACACAAAAATAAAAGTTAAAAAATTAACCATTAGAAATTGCTACATGTTTCGGCCAACTTTCCAGCATGTCAAAATTGCTACCCTGTATTTTCAGTGTAATTAAGATGAATTATTTCCTAAGTTATAATATTTCAGTGTTTTCCATTTTCATCATCCATTCATTAAAAATAACACTAAGTGACTCACACTCAACTAGTCCAACAATGTAGAGACATACATACCAGTGGGACACATAACAACAAGATAATAACACCACACCGACACCGATGCGAGCTACACAAGTAACATGAAAAACACTGATGCTGCAGAAGGAAGGCAGCGCATGAAAACATAACAAGTGAAGGTTTCCAACAAATGTTTTAACGAGTGAATAACAAAAATGGAAAATGTAATAGTTTAACTTAGGGAATAATTCATCTTAATTACATTGAAAATAGAGTGTAGCAATTTTGAAAGGTTGGACAGTTACCTGAAGATGGCCAAGTATGGCTGAAATATGTAGAAAATTCTAATTGTTAATTTTTATTTTTATTTTTATGTAAAGGAGTTATTTTACATAAAGTTGCATTTAAGATGGAAGTTAATTTAAAAGTTATGAAAGTGTGTTCCTTCTTTTTTTCACTTAAACAATTAAATCTTGCCAGTTGGTTTTCCATAGCAACATAATACACCCAAGATTCAGCCACATGGTTTATGTTCCTTCAACACCACATCATGATTCCTCAGAAAAGGAAGTGATTTATGCATAATTTAATGCACCAGAAGTACAAGAAATTTGTTCTGGATACCAGTTCAGGAAATCATTCCAGCAAGTTTGAAGTCACTGAAGTACCAGAGATTAAGCAGAAATCCCGTGTAATTGTATAATAATTAATTCCACTATTAAGTTTTTTTAGCTCTTGTTTTATAAACATCCACAATTTAGGGTCCTGTACCTTAACTACCAAACCTCATGCTGAGTGGTGTTAACTGTCACTGCTTTCAGTGCATGCACTGTTTTGTCATTCAGAAGTTCTACACGAAGAACATAAACATGATTCTTCACTTCATCCCAGCTTTAAATTGTTGGCACCATTTAGTCAAGTCGTGTTGGAATGAAGGCCTTCACATAATATTCTGTTGTGTTCAGTTTCCACTAAAACGTTTTGGAAATGACATTTCCTACAGTTCATTCTTAACTTACAGACTTACTTTCTTTATTAATATTGGCTGTCTTTATAGTGAACTTGTCTATCACAAACATGAGTGAACGCACCTATTAGACCCATAATCAATTGGAAGAATGTACCAGCATATGAGTTAGCAAAACAATTGTCAAAAATATTACAAAATTGCTTAAAACTACCACATACATACATACATACATACATACATACAATGTATGCAATTCCAAACCAACCTCCCCCCACATTAAAAACCATAGAATTGAATAGAAATATAAGAATGTTTTCCTTCGATATAGAAAATATGTATACAAACATACCAAGAAAACACATTATAAACATAACCAACAATATACTAGAGAATAACATTGAAATTCAATCCCATCAATAAATTAGATTATTTAATTAGAACTACTTCTCTATTCCTGAAGCTATGTGAAAATTTTGGTCTACCAGCATTTGTAGTTAATTAATTTAATTTTAACTTTATTTATGATTTGGGGCAAACCATAAATTCTTGTAGATTCTAAAGGACTATGATGGTGGTGTATAATATTTGGGATTACTGGGGTAGTGGACTTTATCCATCACTTGGTATTCTAAAGAACACTGAAGAATACATTTTGGAGGTCCAGTGATTGAGGTCAGCTCTTTCTACTGCACCCAACAGAGCATGTCTCTCCCACCCCATCACCTGAGGATGCAAACAGATCCAGTTTCCGAAATGTGTTCATTAGGGCTGTTTAGAATACTGGATAGTACATGAAGACCAAAATCCTAGTAATCCGGAGTCATAAGTTTTGATTTTATTCCTACAGATTCAGATGCAGGAAGAGTCTGATCCAGCATATACTTACCGAAATGCTCAGGGCGCAGTCAGGGTGATTCGAGGTCGAGGCTGCAATGAGAGTTTCAGAGCTGCTGTGGATCGTAGCTATGAAGCACCTCTTTCAGATCTGCGCTCAAGAATTGAGATGGAAACTCGTAAGTTCATAATCACTAAAGAACCAGATGTAACAGTTCTCTTTCACCCCCCCTCCCCCCACGATTCCTGTGCTGTCAATCTTACCATTTTCATGGCTCTTCTTTGGACATAATTAACAGTACATGCAGTTCTGTTTCGGCTACCCAATTCTGCTGCTACCACTGGCACACATTTTTGTGGCTCTTCTTTGCAGTATGTGCTAGTGCTGGATGCATATATAGAGGCAGGTTGCAGATCTATAGACCATAGCAAGAAACATCAGATTCTCACTGTCTCATGCTGTAGCTGAACCAGTCAGGTGCTGTTAGTGTGCAGTATTTCATGATCTGTATTTTCTGATGTCTGAGACACTTGCAGCAAGCTAGCAGTGCACTGTTGCTAATCAGCTGCTGTAAGGAGCAAATATAAATATAATATGTGCTCAGACAAGTTATCAGTGATCAGAAGAAAGGACAGTGATTTAAGCAAGCTGACAGTGAGTTCATGAATGTGCGGGCTCAAGCATCATTTTTCTAGCTTTAGTGATTTGATTTTTATAGTTGTTTTAGTTGTGCTTTGCTTAAACGTGCATTCTCCACCAATACAGATAGGTATTTTTAACTTATCACACAGTATATTCGTATTGTAGGTTGAAAGTGATCTCATATTCATAGAAGGTTGTTCTAGAAAGGCAGTGATTTGAATCCCATGTTTGTAGTCAAGGTTAGTTAGAATTGTATGATGTTTCATTTGTAACTCTGTCTCATGTAAAGAAGTACAAAACACTATAAGGAAACCGGATTTTAAACATATGACTCACTTCAATACTAGGGTTTGTTATTCCATACAGTAGTCAAAATACTGATCGAGCATGGTTGCATTTATAAGGCAAATAGGCTGTGCATGATGCATTTTTGTATGTCTCTTTTGTGACAGCAGATCTTAAAGTGGTATTTTGCTGTTTCTAAAGCCTGAATCAATTTATGAAAAAATCATGTCTTTCAATAGACTGAGTGGAAGCTGTGGTAGTCCCGGTTCCAGCTACCGTGGTTGGGTTCATGAAATAGGATTCACTGTGTCTAATTTGTTTAAAATATGTATCTCATGAAGAACAAAACAAACTGCATATTTCAAAATGCCAGAGTCTTCACAGCTGAAGCTTGTAGAATGAAATTTAATAAACAAAAATTAAAAAAATTTGGGTTGATTACAGTGCAGCAATTACAATCCAGTTAAACTCATATAGGAGCAATCTCAGTTTTTGCAATTTTTATCTTTGGGGAAACCTGAAGGGAAAAGTCTACAAGAATAACCCTCACAGCACAGAAGCTCTGCAGAATGAAATAAGACGCACTTTTTCACAAGCTTGGATACACACGACTTTGTGGGAGGTGGTGAGTCAGGATATTTACGACAAAACTTATGTATACATTTTCTGTAAGATTTTTCCTAGCAAATGTTTCGACAATAAACACACACTGTTCAGTAGTGAACTTCATTTCAGTATAAATGTTGACCACCTGTCGACACCTCTAACAAAGACTGACCATTAATGGGACTTATTGCAATGAAAATATCAGACCACCTGACGGCATGCGTTTATCAGCGCCAATGACTCATCCTGCTATTGGCAATTACAGCATCAATCTGTGAGAAATATTGTGTTCGCTGTGCGCTGCTCCCAGGTTTCCTCAATGGTTGAACGCCCCATATGTCTTCTTGTTCGGATCATGGCTGACCTGCTCCCCATTAGAGTGCAATACGTATAATGTTTTGCCAAGTTCCTTCTCTCCTGCAGTTGTATATATCCATATTTAAAATTTGCCTACATGCTGTCATATTGAACCTTTCAGTTTGTATATAGTTCAGTAAGTAATGTTGTTATTGATAGGGCAAAACAGTTCAAAAATAGATACAGTAGAACTTGGTTATAACGTCATCAAAGGGACCTAAAAATAGTGTCGTTATAAACGAATGTCGTTGTAACCGAAATGGGCACTTCCACAGTAGCCTTATGTTAGTCATGTAAAAATCTACCAAAAACCGAGTTAAAATGTTGCATTTTTTAGTGAAATACGTAGTTAAGTACAGACTAACGTAACATTAACGTGGAATTGCCCAAATGTGTAATATCAAAGACATATTACAGCGCTTTTCACTGACAATACACACAATATTTCACGAATCACTTTAACTTTCTCTTCAATGCTTAAAACTTTCCTTTTCATTGCCATGTTTTCGCTACTGCACTTCTCTGGGTTTAGGCAGGAACACTATAGGGTAATTAGACAATGTGAGGTCCTGTTAGACGAGATTCTAGGAAAGGAATGCAGTTAACAACCTGCCGCGTCTTCTTGCACTATTCACGCAGTCCCACCCCACACCCTTGTTTTTGCATAAAACCCACGCTCCTCTTGCAGCCCGCGGTCGTATTCTTCCAGGACAGTCACGTCAGCAAGTAGAGAAAGTGAGGGTGGGCAGACACATCGAACTTTCCCACGATATCAGAGAAATTCAGGAATGAAAATGACGTTACATACGAGGTTGATGCATTTGTGCATGTCGTACTAAGCAAGGTATAAAAACAGTTGCTTTATGAGGAATTAGTTCGTACCATTGAATATTTGATGCAATAGACAAGGTGTCGCAGAAACCGATGTTGCTATAACCAAGTTTTACTGTATATGACATGTTCTCTGATTGGGCATGATCATTTGCTTTTAGCCATTTATTAACCAGCTAACCACCAAACTGTATGGGGCAGTGTCAGTCTTGAGAAACTAATAATTACTCAGTTAATAATGAAATTTCCGGTCTGTCATGGAACCCAAGGGACTCTTATTCTCCTCGAGCCTGCCACTGGGCCCCTTCTTTTGAGTTAGATTAATCCAATCAGCATCTTCCCACCCTGTTTCTTTAATATCCATTTTAATATTACCCTCTCTTAAGCTTCTCTTAAGCACTACTTGAATATTTTTGTTAGGAGCATTTGTGGTATGGTATCAGATCACTTCAGTTTTCTGTTTTAAGTGAAGATGTGATGTGTTCTCAGTATGATATAACTTACTTTGTGGTCCATTTATTTTGTATTTATTCATGTTTCTTCTAAATATAAACAGGGAAATCTGAGAAGGGATTAAATGTTAAAGTATATGTAAATATTATTCTGGTTTATCTCTGAAGTTTATAATGTGGTGGTAATATTTAATCGCAGCTAACATAGGTATACTGAGACAGTTCTATATGTATAATACAAATTCCGTCGCAAATGTAACACTTTATTGTAGTTCTTGTTCTCCTTCTTTCACACTACATGTTTTGGCTGCAACCGGCCATCATCAGGTGTATTTCACTTCACGTAGCTGTCACACTGCACTCAATATTAACATTTAAACTCCAGATTTTCAATTGTTCATTGCTCTGTCGTCAATCAGTATCTGATATTCCAGAATTCCCCTTGTCGATTTTTGTCAGTTATGTTTAAAATCTTTATTAATATTCATACGTCGATTGGTTTAAAATTTTAAATTCTCAATTTAGCTTTAATATTTACAATTTAAATTTAAAATCAAAATCACA